TACACAGATGCAAAAGCCTACTGAATTAGGCCGGCACACTGCTCTCTACAAGCCTCTTAATGCAACTAGTGGGCCCCGGTCACACTAGTGGGAAAAGCCGCGGCAGAAGTGCGGCATTTTAGAGCTGCAACAAACAGAAGCGCGGCAGCGGGATCAGACAGGTCCCCCAGGTCCCCCAGGCTCTGTGTTCTGCCGGCAGCTGCAATCACATGCTGCAGGGGAAGCGACTCTAAGATGGGTGAGGAGGGCCAGCCGCAGCAGTTGTGCGCATGCGCAGTTTCGCTAGTCTCTCTTAGATCTGCATCTTCGGCCGGAAGGGATGGGTTGGGGGCAGGTGTGCACAGCTTCCCAGATGTTGGCATCTGATCACGCCGGTTTAATCCACCCTCGACCCGTCCATTTCGCGGGGCAAATCCTCCCATGTGACCGGGGCCGTGGTGAGTTTGAAACAATATCAAATAACATTCCATTCAGCTTCATGTTGTTTCTCTTTCTAAATAACCATGGTTTCTCCCCAGGATAACAACTTGAAGGAATTATACTCTTGAGGCTTGTAGAGGCTAGACTACTGTAATACACTCTGCATAGGTCTGTCCTGAAAGACAACTCGGAAACTCCAGCTGCTACAGAACACCATAGCCCAGTTACCTTTTGAGCACTGGGCAAGACCACATGTGACACCAATTCTGCAAACCAATGTTCCCTCTAAGCTGTGGAGTCTTGGGAGCATAAATTCTACTTTGTGAGCTGCTGACATTAAAGTTGTGAGCCAGCGATTTGGCTCCTGCATAAATTAGTTTGCTCTGGAGCCCTCCTTCCTGAGCTAAGACGAAAATGTGTGAGCTGGAGGCTAAAAAACTGTGAGCTAGCTCGCACTTACTCAGCTTAGAGGGAACACTGCTGCAGACAGTCCATTAGTTACTCATCAGTTTTACAGTGTTCCATTGAAGGCTCCAGCGATCACCTACAAAGCTCAAGGTTGCAATCGGAGCTCTGTGATAATAGCGTCGCTCATCTGTACAAAAGCCTTCTACAGGGGCCCTCCTTGCGAATGGATAAGATCAGCAGCTGCCTGTTCACACACACATTCTCAGCGGTAGTTCCCACCCCTATGTCTGATGTCAGAAAGGATCCCACACTTTGGCCATTTGGCAGAATGCTCAAGACACCAATACACCAAGAGAATATTTTAAAAGAGATTAGAACTGCATAGAATGAACAGCCCAAGAGAGCACCTTTCCGATGGAATAGGATCGTAGTCCATGTCAGTGATTATTTCAGTCAAGACAGCTGTGTTATTCCATAGTAGCAGAGAAACATTGAGTCTGGTAGCACCATAGAGACCAACAAACTATTTCAGGGTATAAGCTTACATGAGCCAAAGCTCTCTTTGTCATATATCAGACGCTGATAAAGTGAGCTTTGACTCATGAAAACTTACACCCCTGGAAAATTATGTTGGCCTTTAAGATTGACTAAAATTTTGTTCTGCAACAAAGGTATGCCCGCTTTTACTGCATTGCCTTCACCTTGTGATCCACTTTCTGTATTGTTTATGGCATACCTGCTTTAGTTTGTTGTTCACATGGTCCCCACATTCTGTAATCCGAGTCTTATTGGCATTGTTCGTTGGTTATGATGTGTGGTTGCACTGTTTTATGTTCTGACATGATAGAGGTTAACAAAATTACGCACAGGATAGAGAAGGGAGAGAAAGGAGTACTTTTCTCCCTTTCTCACAATACAAGAACTTGTGGGCACTCAATGAAATTAATGAGCAGTAGGCCTAGAACAGATAAAAAGAAGTACTTCTTCACCCAAAGTCATTAACACGTGGAATTCACTGCCGCAGGAAGTGGTGGCAGCTACAGGCATGGACGGCTTCAAAAGGGAATTAGGTAAGCATATGGAGCAGAGGTCCATCAGTGGCTATTAGCCACAAGGTATAGATGCTCTGGGGCAACTGATGCTCTGTCATCTTGGTGCTTGGGGGGGGGGGGTCAACAGTGGAAGGGCTTCTAATGTCCTGGCAGGAAGTGGTGGCAGCTACAGGCATTGACAGCTTCAAGAGGGGATTGGAGAAACATATGGAGCAGAGCTTTTAGCCAGTGGCTTTTAGCCAGGAGGTGTGGATATAGCCCTTTGTCTGGGACAATGATGCTCTGTATTTTTGGTGCTTTGGGGTCAAGAGTGGGAAGGCTTCTGAAGTTCTGGCCCAGCTGGTGGACCTCCTGATGGCACCTGGGTTTTGGCCACTGTGTGACAAAGAGTGTTGGACCAGATGGGCCACTGGCCTGATCTGATCCAGCCTGGCCTCTCAGCAAGAACAGCAGACATTATAGGAGAAAAATACGGCTAAATGTCGCTTTGGGGGTTAACCTGAGGAACATCTCCGGAAATTAAGGGAATTAGGACATCCTTCTTCTATTTGCAAAATAAGTGATGATTTACTTCTCAAAAGGCAGGAAGGTGGAAGCAGCCCAGACGGAGAGGGGGAAGCATATTCCATCTTTCAGAAAACAAACCTTTAGATGATTTGACAATTAAATAATATGTCCAAAAACCAATGCTGAGGAGAGTGCAAAAGCAGACCCCTATAAAATACTGTAAACGTAGCAAGCTATGGGGCAAACAGGTAGGGTCTAGCTGATCATAATAGCCAAATTCAGCTCTCTACCTTAGCCCCAACACTTCTGTAAGCAAATATCGAGTCATTGTGTTTTCAGTTAATCACAGTATCAGGACAGTCTCCTATCTTGGTTAGCTCTTGGCCCAAATGAACATTAGTAAAGGACAAGAGGGGGACCCGCGATACTCGCGGGGGGATCTCATATCACAAACACACACACACAAACTTTCTCCCCAGGCTCCCCTGCAGGTGCCCAGACCCACTGGTTCCCTCCCCCCGTGGGTTGTTTGGAGCTGCTCCAGACGGCCTCGCCTTTTTATTTCGCTTTGAGCGAACGAACTTTCCGGGGCAGCGTCTTCTCCGCAGTTTCTGGAGGCCGCCTTTTGGACCAGCCCCTCCACCCTGGGTTCCCACGGGTCGTGCAGGCTGCCCCCCCCGGCGCCTCAGGGGAATGAAGAAGGGGCCAAGCGGTGAGACCTGCGGTGCAGAAGGTGGCCAGCAGCAGCCCGGTCGGCTGGCGGCCTGCAGTGGTTATTTGCAGCCAGAAACTAACAAAAAAAGATTATCTGATTGACAGAAGAGTTTGGATTTATACCCCGCCCTTCACTACCCGAAGGGGTCTCAGAGCGACTTACAGTCTCCTTTCCCTTCCCCTCCCCACAACAGACACCCCGTGAGGCAGGTGGGATTGAGAGAGAGCTCTCAAGAACTGCCCTTGAGAGAACAGCTCTGAAAGAACTTATGACTGACTTAAGGCCACCCCAGCAGCTGCATGCAGAGGAGTGGGGAATCAAACCCAGTTCTCCCAGATTAGAGTCCGCACTCCTAACCACTACATCAAACTGGCTCTCAGCACACCTCATGTCCCGAATTTGGGGAATTAGACATATAAAGTCTGGGATTCTTTCATATACTGCCTCGCCACCCCAGACTTGATTATCCTTCCAAGATCCTACCTTCTCAGTGCTTGCTGACATTCCATGCAAGCGAGAGGAAAGGACTGGCGGAAATTATGTAACCCATTTGCATCCTGTCTTATTGTGATTCCAACAGTTAGCTGAATATTGTAACTTAAGCTCTGATATGATTCAATCTAGAGGTAAGTCATATTTTAAGAGAGCTGAAAGCATCCGGAGAGACTTATAACAGACCATTCAGGTACTCCTGTCCATTGTCTTCTCAGTAGATATTTTATTTCAATGGGAAAAAAGACAACATTTCAAGGTCACACATTAGCAAAATATATACTGCAGAATTCTACAAATGAAAGATATGTCTTCCTTAGGGTTTTCAGAGCTACCTCGTTAATCACTTCTACGTCACCGTTCTCTTTATCCCTATTAAAAAAAGAACAGCCTCCAACATGTACTAAGGATTAGCTTAGTATGTCAGTTAAAGGCACATAGTTAATGATTCGCAAGACGACAAAGAGTGGCCTTAACCTGGATAACCCAGGCAAGCCCGATCTCAAAAACTAAGCAGGGCCGACCCTGGCATGTATTTGGATGAGAGACCCCCCACCAAAGTTCCCTCTAAGCTGTGGAGTCTTGTGGGCAAAAATTCTACTTTGTGAGCTACTGGCATTAAAGTTGTGAGCGAGCAATTTGGCTACTGCATTAAATTAGTTTGGTCTGGAGCCATCCTTCCTGAGCGAAGACCAACATGTCTGAGCCGGAGGCTAAAAAACTGTGAGCTAGCTCACACTAACTCAGCTTAGAGGGAACACTGCCCCCCACGGAATACCAGGCCAGGACGCAGAAGCAGGCAATAGCAACCCACCTCTCTAAACATCCAAGCCCCACCAGGGGTCGCCAGAAGTCAACCACGATGTTGTGTGTGCACACACACACACAAAATACTCACCCAAAAAAGATGACAGTGATTTTCAATGCTAAAAAACGAAATAACAACAAATTGGTAGGAATAACAGTGTTCAGCTAAGTGTCCCACTCGAATTGCTCATATTTTATGATTGAACCTACATTACCAAACTGTTCAAAAGGTAAGGAAGCAAAATAAGTTTCTTAAAAAACCCAAGGATCCAGCTTTCCTTTCTCCAAATATTGGAAGGGTCTGCCTGGTATTTCCGCAGAAGAAGTGGTGAAATGCAAAGATCTGGAGGAAGTTCTGAATGAGCAAGTCTCTGTGCTACATATATTCTCTCTGCCTTGGACTCCACAATATGAAGTGAGGATTATGTTCACTTCAATGCTCTGTCCATACGAAAGGATTTATGGGTATTGTCACTGAAGTTACTTCTCTCATTTTACAATTGATTTATCACACAAGCTGCCAAACAGCCTGAGCATATAGATAACCTACCCATATGAATTCGTAGACAAGACCGTTCACCAAGGCTGAGAGTTTCTACTGTTTTTCCCTAGTGTGAATAAGCACATGTCTCATAAGGTTGGAGTGCTGGCTGAAGCAAGATCCACATTCCTGGCATTTAAATGGCTTCTCTCCCGTGTGGATTAGTTGGTGTCTAAGAAGGTTCGAGTTGTGATTAAAGCAACTTCTGCACTCCAGGCACTGATACGGTTTCTTCTTGTTTTGGGTCCTTGGACTTCTCTGTGTCTGACTGACGCCCTTTTTACACTCCCCTGTCTCCGTATCTTTATGTCTCCTAAGAGTTACGCTGTGACTGAAGCTTTTCCCACAATCCAGGCACTGGAAGGGTTTCCCTTCTTTGTGGATTCTTTGATGGTTCGTAAGCCTTTCGCTCAGACTAAAGCTCCTTCCACATTCCAGGCATTTATATGGTTTTTCCCCTTTGTGGAGTAGTTGATGTTTGATGAAGTTTGCATTTGTTGTGAACTTCTTTCCACATTCCAAACACTCGTGCAATTTCTCTCCTGTGTGTATTCTTCGATGCATAGCAAGGCTTGAGGTATGCCTAAAGCTCTTTCCACATTCCAAACACGTATATGGTTTGTCACCTGTGTGGGTATTTTGATGCATGGTGAGGTTGGTGCTCGCAATGAAGCTCTTTCCGCATTCTAAACATTTATATGGCTTTTCACCTGTGTGGGTTCTTTGATGCATAATGAGGTTTTTACTCTGTGTAAAGCTCTTTCCACATTCCAGACAGGTGTATGGTTTCTCGCCTGTGTGGATCATTTGATGTCGAATGAGGGTTGTACTTTGCACAAAGCTCTTCCCACATTCTAAACATTTATAAGGTTTTTCACTCATGCGGTTTCTTTGCTGTTGACTATGGCTGAAGCTATTTCCAGGCTTGTGGAAATGATACGGTCGCTCCCTCGCATGAATTTTTTGATGTCTAACGAGACACGATCTTACAATAAACCTCTTTCCACACTCCAGACATACATAGGGTTTTTCTCCTGTGTGCATTCTTTGATGCACAATGAGGTATGCACTGTATGCAAACTTCTTTCCACATTCAAAACATCTGTATTGTTTCTCTCCCGTGTGAGTTCTTTGATGAACCCGAAGAGCTGAGCTTTGGCTGAATCTCTTTCCACATTCCAAGCAGTCATATGGTTTCTCCCCTGTGTGGATATTCCAGTGTGCTTTAAGGTTTGGTACACTAGCAAAAGTTTTCCCACAGGTAGAACATTCAATCCTTCTCTTTCCTTCCTGTATTGCTCCATGGTAGTTACCGTTGTGATAAGCAACTGATTTACTACTTCCTTTATCCAGCTGGTTTCCCACCTGTTTTTTGGGGACATCATGATTCTCAAAGTTTTCTTGCATTTCTAGAGTCATATCACTTTCCTCCAATACCTCACCATTTTTGTTTTCAGGAGCTGTGTCCCACACATCTTCGGCTGAAACAGAGAAGCGTGAGATAAATTTAAAGAAGGAACAGAAGATCAAATCAGGAAGTGAGTCTAATGAAGGAAGTCAAACTACTGTGGAGAATGACAGAATACAAAGGATGTGTCTGTCAGGAAACCCCGTCAAAATTTGGTGGGGAATAGTACCTGCCAATACTGAGATAACTGAATGACAGTAACTACAAATCCAAAAGAGAATACCAGCTACCCAAGACGGCTACTAATTAGAAACCCTTTCTCTGATTAAAAGATGGGAACAAGAGAGTGGTGTCTTCTATGGGAGCAATACCAGCTATCCTGCTCTACTCTGGAACACCGCTGCCAACATCACAAATGGGCTGCTTATTGGTTCTGACCCTCCGTTTTCCCCCTCAGGTTAGAACTGCCAAACTAGGAGATAAACATATGGATAAACATATGGAGCATAGGTCCATCAGTGGCTAATCGCCACAGAGTATAGACAGAACACTCTGTCTGGGGCAAGTGATACTCTGTATTCTTGGTGCCCTTGGGGCAATAGTAGGAGGGCTTCTGAAGTTCTGGCCCCACTGGTGGACCTCCTGATGGCTCCTAGGCTATGGCTTCTCTTATGTTCTTATGAGACAAAGAGTTGGCAACAAACATTTTTTTTTTGGTTAACTGATACTGATTCCGTCACTCTTCACCGGTGCCTGATTTTGTTTCCCCGTATCATCATTTTCATATTTTACCATCATCTCAAAACCTGGAGATGGCATCGTGCATGTCTGGACCACTGAGAGGCCTTTGTTGTTGTTCAGTCGCACAGTCGAGTCTGACTCCTCACGACCTGAGAGGCCTACTCAGATATAATAATGTTGTGAAAGTTCCCAGCACAGGCCAAAGGGAAGCCTCTGCCATTCTTTAAAGATGACTGTATTTTATACTTTTACAGTTTTGTACTTCTATAGTTCTTTGTTCCTGAGGAAGGACCAGGAGTCTGAAACACTATAAATTACCTAGGAAAAGTGTTGGATATCTTCCATGGACTTGACTGTTTCCCTTCATGGATCGTGTGGATTTTTCATTCTCATATGTAATATTTGTTACTGATATTGCTAATTATATGCTTCTTTTCACTTTATTGAAGTCTCTTTTTGTACATTTATACTTGCGGGCAGGGGTCGTTTCGTAGAAAAAGAGTTAGGGGAACTCATTAGCATAACTCATTAGCATATGCCACACACCCTGACATCAGGGGCCCGGCGGTGGACCTGCAAGGCCGGCGGGAGTGCGAGGAAGCCCTGCCAAGGCCCTCCCTGGCTCCAGGCAGGCAGGGGTGAGGAGAGGCGGGGAGGAAGCAACTTACCCTCCCTCTTCTCCTGCCTCCTCCTGGCTGAATGAGAGCCGGAAGCGGGGCGGCTGGAAGCAGGGGGCGAAATGACCTCTGCTTGCGGGTATTTCAGCTCACAGTTGTTTTGTTCTGCTGTTCCTGACTATATTAGACTGTGTGCTGTATTGTTTGTTGCTTATTCTTTAAAGATGATACTGTTGGGATGTAGTAATTTTATAACTTGTAAGAGGAAAGATATATCCTGTTCATTTATTATTCTGAGGAGCTGAGGCTATCACTGGGTTCTTCCCCCCCCCCCCCCACCTTTTCTGCAAGAGAAGCACATGGCCAGTTGCCTCCCATTACGCTGCCTTAATTTGCCAGTTCAGATGAAACAGGGCTTCAGAAGCCAAAGGGGTTGCAGGACCAAACGTCCCACTCCAAAAAGGCTGAGGATCTACATCCCTTTCGCATCTTCCATGCCTGAATGTCTTTCCCACAGCTGCCCTTGGACATCATTTCCACACACACACACACACACACTCTACCTTCCCCCAGAAGTTCCCACCTAACTAATCATTCCAGCCCCATTTCCCAATTCCCCCTCCCGCCTTCCACAATCCTCCCACGTCACTAAGAGGTTGCCCACTCCCTCCAAAGTTCTGAGCCACCAGCTCCACGTAGTCCAGCACCAACCCATTCCGCGTCATTGCCCGCTGGTTGGAAGTGCTGGAACTACTTCAAATTCTGCACCTTCCACCTGCCTTCCTTCTTGTACTGCTAATCTTTCAGGGACTTCTTTCCTGCTGCCTCCCCCCCCCCCCCCCCCATGAGGCATGGCATATTTTAGTCCTTATAGATTTACTTCTATTTGTTATTATACGGGAGATGTTATTTTAAATTGACTATATTATGTGAATGTTCTTATTACGTACACTGCCGTGAGCACTGTTTGTAGGGGGAGGGTGGTTTAAAAATCCAAATGATGATGATGATGATAACAACCACAACAACTAGAAGCCAGTAAGAAAACCCATTGGGAATTCCAGCCTTTCACCCAACTAAGGATGTTACTTCCTAGCCCTAGTGAAGGGGTGTTCTGCCCCTAAAAGTCTCTGGTTTTATTCATTCCATTATCAAGATTTGTGACTTGGTCAAGATACATGGTGACTATGGGAAACCTCCACATTCAGAAACACTAAGCCACTGAATCCCACAGCCAGGAGGCAACATCAGAGGAAGGCCTCAGCCTTCCTGTTGTTGGCCCTCCAGAGGAAGTGGCTGGCCACTGTGTGAGACAGGATGCTGGACCAGATGGACCATTGGCCTGATCCAGCAGGGCTCGTCTTATGTTCTTATGGACCTCTAGAGGAAGTGGCTGGCCACAGTGTAAGTCAGGATGCTGGACCAGATGGACCATTGGCCTTATCCAGCAGGGCTCGTCTTATGTTCTTATGAAGGCCTCGGCCTCTATGCCCTGTTGCTGGGCCTCCAGAGGAACTGGCTGGCCCCTGTGTGAGACAGGATGCTGGACCAGATGGACCATTGGCCTGATCCAGCAGGGCTCGTCTTATGTTCTTATGAAGGCCTCGGCCTCTATGCCCTGTTGCTGGCCCTCCAGAGGAACTGGCTGGCCCCTGTGTGAGACAGGATGCTGGACCAGATGGACCATTGGCCTGATCCAGCAGGGCTCGTCTTATGTTCTTATGAAGGCCTCGGCCTCTATGCCCTGTTGCTGGACCTCTAGAGGAAGTGGCTGGCCACAGTGTGAGACAGGATGCTGGACCAGATGGACTATTGCTCTCAGGGCTCTTTTTGTAGAAAAAGACCAGCAGGAACTCATTAGCATCACAGGCCACATCCAACAGCAGGAACTCATTAGCATATTGGGCCACACCCACGACAGCACAGCTCATTAGCATACTAGGCCGCACACCCCATGTTGCCAGAAGTGTGGTTATCCAGCCACACCCACCTTTTGCTTGTTATTCTGTTTACCTTGTTTGTTGTCAAAACCCAGGGCTTTTTTGTAGCGGGAACTCCTTTGCATGTTAGGCCACACACCCCTAATGTAGCCAATCCTAATGAGTTTCTGCTGTTGGGTGTGGCCTATTATGGTAATGAGTTCCTGCTGGGCGTGGCCAACCTGGGAGCCAGCCAGAACTCCATTCCTGTGCGTTCCTGCCCAAAAATAGCTCTGATTGCTCTGATCCAGCAGGGCTGTTCTTATGATCAATTTCCCTGCTATTAGGATACATATTAACACTCTAACCACACTATATCATCCTCCTCCCATCTTGAAAAACACTCACTTTCATCAGCTGTCCTTTGGAAGAGCATATCCTCGGGCCGTATTCCTAGAGAAGCCTCAGGCCTTTCTCTTGCCTCACGGCCTTCCTGAAGAAAATCCTCCTCTTTGGACTCTGTCATGGTCTTTTTCATCCTTGGGAAGGCAGAGAAGACTGTAAGAACCCCCAAAATCTCAGTCCCACTTTCAGCAAAGGCAGGGGATGCCAAAGAGGAGAAGAATGGGCAGGTAAGACAGGCCAACAAAAGATACAGAAACAAGATCAGTAAACTCATCATACCTCGTCACACCTAGTGATGGCCACAATTTTCCCTCTAAGCTGTGGAGTCTTGTGAGCAAAAATTCTACTTTGTGAACTACTGGCATTCAGTTGTGAGCGAGCGATTTGGCTACTGCATAAATTAGTTTGTTCTGAATCCCTCCTTCCCGAGCCAAGGCAAAAATGTGTGAGCCGGAGGCTAAAAAACTGTGAGCTAGCTCACACTAACTCAGCTTAGAGGGAACACTGGCCACAGGCATAGATGGCTTAAAAAGATTCAAGGAGGAAAGGTCTATCAGTGGCTACTAGCCATGGTGACTAAACAGTACCTTTACATTCAGAGGTAGTAAACCTCTGAATCCCAGAGCGAGGAGGCAACATCGGGGAAGGCCTCGGCCTCTATACCTTGCTGTGGGCTCTCCAGAGGAACTGCTTGGCCACTTTTTGAGACAGGATTCTGGTCTAGATTTATATATTACCCTCCCCCCAACAGGGGCTCAGTTCCAATATACAAACTACAAATACAGTTCCAATAAATATGATAAATATCTATACAGGATAAAATTTAAAAACAGTAAAAACAGCGATTATCAAAGTAATCAGTTGGTGCTGAATATTCCATATCCTACTCTAGCGCAGAGGTGATGGGGGAGGCCAGGCTTGATGGAAAACCGTTTCTGCCCTCAGTCGTAGGCCTGGCGGAACATCTCTGTCTTACAGGCCCTGCGGAACTCCATTAGGTCCCACAGGGCTCGGATGTCATTGGCGGAGAGTTCCACAGCTGGGTAAGACTTCAGGCCAGGGATCGTAAGGAGGTTCTTATCTCCAGAGCGTAATGCACTCTGGGGGGTATACGGACCACTGGTCTGATCCAGCAGGGCTCTTCTTTTGTTCCCCTGTCCCTGTTCTCTGGCAGGCACTTGGCAGTGGGATAAAATGAAGGAGAGGGGAACCAGGCCAGAGGGTTTAAGGATGGCCACAGGAACAGCTGACTTTCAAAGGTGATTAGACAGTTTCATGGAGGTCAGGTGGTCCATCAACTGCTAGTAAGTAGAACCAAAAAAGGGGGGTGAGTAACCGAACCCTATACAGGAAAGTTAACCAAAACGATTGAGACAAAAACATTAAATATGGCTAAACACAGTGCTAAAGTAAAAACATACAGCATATTTTAAACATGCATAAGGAATATTAAAATCAGAATAAAAACCACATTACTATGGTTCTGTATATAAATACCTATATCTAATAGGACAAATGTCAGTATGTGTGTGTGTGTGTGTGTGTGTGTGTGTGTGTGTGTACATACACACCTTTGTCTTATTAGGGGGATGTGTGTGTGTATGTATATGTATATATACACACACACACAGGTTAAAAGGTACAAAATGTATCCAAATACAAGAACCAAACACACTTCGGCTAAAAACCCTTCTTTAGTTGTAGAATAAAACCTGAGCACTCCATAAATTAATCATCAATATATTTAGGTGGGTAAACAGCATGATAAAAAGTAGAGACCTCACCCTGCCAACAAAAGTCCGCATGGTCAAAGCAATGGTATTCCCAGTAGTCATGTATGGCTGCGAGAGTTGGGCTATAAGGAAGGCCGAGCGCCGAAGAATAGATTCTTTTGAACTATGGTGCTGGAGAAGACTCTTGAGAGTCCCTTGGACTGCAAGAAGATCAAATCAGTCAATCCTAAAAGAAATCAACCCTGACTGTTCCCTGGAAGGCCAGATAATGAAACTGAAGCTCAGATACTTGGGCCACCCAATGAGAAGGGAGCACTCACTGGAGAAGACCCTGATGCTGGGAAAGATTGAAGGTCAAAGAAGACGGGGACGGCAAAGGATGAGATGGTTAGACAGTGTCATCGACTCAACAAACATGAAATTGAGCAAACTTCACAGGACGGCGGAAGACAGGAGAGCCTGGCGTGATCTGGTCCATGGGGTCGCGAAGAGTCAGACTCGACTGTGCGACTGAACAACAAAAGCTGTGTTGGCCTGAAGCAGCAGAACAAAGTCTGAAGACGTGTGCTTGCACACGAAAGCTTATACCTTGAATTAAACTTTGCTGGTATTAAAGCGGCCACTGGACTCAAACTTTGATCAATATATTTGAAATTCACCATACATAGAACAGACCTGAAAACCAACAATTACCACATATAATGTAGAATTTATATATTCTGGCATTTGTCCTGATACTAGGTATAGGTACTTATGTACAGAACCATAGATATGTGGTTTTTATTCTGATTTTAATATTTCGTATGCATAATTAAAATGTGTTCTCCACGCAATGCAGTCCTAGTGATCTAAAATAAATAATACACGAAGGTTCAAAGGGCCACCAAATGCAGAAAGTACAGATCTGCACACGGCTGTGCAACTGCATGATAGGCGCATAAATGCACCACCTTTGGCAGGAAACCCCAGTGCAAGTTGCCAGCTTACTCTGAGCTCTCTGCTTCCATCCACCCCCCGTTAGCAAAAGATAGTAGTAGCCAGGGCTTTTTTGGTAGAAAAAGCCCAGCAGGAACTCATTAGCATAACAGGCCACACCCAACAGCAGAAACTCATTAGCACATTAGGCCACACCCTGACAGTGCAGCTTATTCGCATATTAGGCCACGCCCCCATGTTACCAGAGGTGTGGTCATCCAGCCACACCCACCTTTTGCTTCTTATTCTGTTTACCTTATTTGTTGTCAACCAGGGCTCTTTTTGTAGCAGGAACTCCTTTGCATGTTAGGCCACACACCCCTAATGTAGCCAATCCTAATGAGTCTCTGCTCTTGGGTGTGGCCGATTATGCTAATGAGTTCCTGCTGGGCGTGGCCAACTCGGGAGCCAGCCGGAACTCCGTTCCTGTGCGTTCCTGCCCAAAAATAGCCCTGGTAGTAGCTGTATCGGTCCATACCAACCCCCCTACCCCTGCAAGGCATGTGAAATCTTTCATTAAATGACACAACCCAGCATCGAGACCAAGGTTTCATGTCTCACTACCAATGCTGATTTCCCCACGCCTACTCCTCCTCTGCGTCGCGCACTGAATCCAATCATACCCGCTATCCAGATTCACCTGCTGTTGTCATTGGCCTGCTAATGTCATTCGGCATCTGAAATCACTCCCCT